ACAGTCAGCCCCACAAACCAACCTCACTCCACTCCCACACCTATCCAATTTGGCAGCCTCTCCCCCACAATGACAAGTCCCGAATCATCACCAATCCCATCTCCCCCACCATTACCCAACAGGCACCCCATGACCACTCGTGCACGAAGTGGTATCTTCAAACCTAAACTCTACTCCACCTCCTCTACCTCTTCTCCACCACCACCGAGCCTGTTACCTATAAAGATGCCTCCCAAAACAGTTATTGGTGTCACGCTATGGATGATGAGTATAAAGCCTTGATTGATCAGCAAACATGGGAGCTTGTTCCGGCACCTTCAGATCGGGTTCCTATTGGATGTAAGTGGATTTATAAAATTAAGCATAACTCCGATGGTTCTGTCTCCAGGTACAAGGCCCGTCTTGTGGCCAAGGGCTACACACAGGAATATGGTTTGGACTACTCTGAGACTTTTAGCCCTGTGGTCAAACAGCAGACTGTTCGGGTGGTTCTTTCTCTAGCGGTCAATCACAACAGGCCCCTTCATCAATTGGATGTCTCCAATGCTTTCCTTCACGGTGTCATTCCTGATGAAATTTATATGAAGCAGCCTCCCGGATATGTAGATCAACAGTATCCTCATTATGTGTGCAAACTAAAGAAATCTCTTTATGGGCTGAAACAGGCACCCCGGGCTTGGTACCAGCGTCTGTCCGGGTTCCTTGTTGACTATGGCTTTGGGAAAAATGAACATGACACCAGCTTCTTTGTTAAGCACTCTCCCTCTGGCATTCTCATTGTCCTTCTCTATGTTGATGATATTATTGTCACTGGCAGTGCCTCACCTCTTATCTCTTCATTCATCGAGGCTATGCAAAAGGAATTTCAAATGAAGAATCTTAGCCCACTTCACTACTTTCTTGGTCTTGAAGTCACACGCACAAAGGATCATCTGCTTCTATCTCAGGAAAAATATGCCCGTGAACTTCTTCATAAAGCAGGAGTCGAGGATTGCAAACCGGCCCCCACGCCCCTACCCGTACGGCAGCCCGAGGAGGGGGTTAGCCGTCCATTCGACAATCCCACCTTTTTCTGGAGTTTAGTTGGCTCTCTCCAATACTTGACAAACACGCGTCCAGACATTCAGTTTGCTGTGAATTATGTTTGTCAAAGGATGCATGCACCTACAGAGCAAGATTTTCAGTCCTTGACATGCATCCTGCGATATGTCAAAGGAACCATTGATCATGGCTTGGTCTTTCGGCGAGGCCCACAGACCATCTATGCATATTCTGATTCTGATTGGGCCAACGATATGACAAATGGACGGTCCACTGCAGGTTACTTGATATATCTTGGCTCTAATTTACTCTCTTGGAGTACGGAGAAACAAAGTCGTGTCTCACGCTCGTCCACCGAAGCCGAGTACAGAGCCCTATCGGCCGCAGCAGCTGAGGTGATGTGGCTCACCTACTTGTTTGACATTTTACAAATCAAGCTCCCTCCTCCACATCTTCTATGCGACAACCAGTCCACCATCTATCTGACTAAGAATTCAGTCTTACATAAGCGCATGAAACATGTCGGAACGGATTTCCACTTTGTACGAGAACAAGTAATTGCAGAGAAAATGACGGTCTCTTATGTTCCTTCTAATGAGCAGCTGGCAGACCTTCTCACAAAAGCTCTTGCCTCGCCACGCTACACTGCATTGGTTGCCAAGCTTCCTCTCGTTTCACGGCGTTCAGCTTGAGGGGGGATGTTAGACATATATGGAAAGAAGTCTAGTTATAGCAGAATTGTTATTTATGTTAGTTTACTTATTTGGTGAATCCTAGTCTATGTAGGAATCCTCACCTATATAAACATCCATGTACACAATTATTCCTCAAGAGTGAATTCATAAATCAACAAAAACCCAATCTCGTATTCTACGTGAAACCATAAATGACGTATTAGGGTCGGTCCCATGTACGATGTTAGTTGTTAAAAATCTTTGATTGGTATAGAACATTTAAGTCATTGTCTGAACTTACAATACCAAAAATGTAACACCCTAATCCGTTCAAGTCTACAACCCCTTTCGGACTAAAGTATAAACTTGGTATTCGTAAACATTCAAAATATTTTAAACATTTAAAATTAAAACTTTATTTCATAATACCTACTCTGTTTTCCGAATCTTAAACTTTCCTTCGCTTAAGGCGCAATCAAAAGTCGAACATCGGACTACTCGCCGTCGGGTTGAGCGGTACCCCCAAAAGAGTAGGTACTCAAGTTTGGCTTGTGGATCCCGGATGTACGTTTTAACTTTGGCCACCGGACATCATACCCGCAAGGCCTAACTAAATGGGTATATCTTAGATATCTTCTAGATACCCTTCAAAATCGACATCACTATGGGTATATCTTAGAGTTCTTCTAGATACCCTTAAATTCAATATACATTATAATCATTAATATTTTCATTTTTAAGTCATGGTTCAAACATTCATAGTTATCATTCTTTAACAATTAGCGGCCTAGCGTCGAGTGTTAACACCCTAACTTACCGTCATGCATCACATAAGAATTTATTTGTCAAAAACATCATTTTTATTTCCATAAATCATATTTACTTTGGTCGTAATTGATTGGTATCAAAAATAAGATTTTAGAGCTCAAAAATAACATTTTCAGAAATATTTTTGGACTGAATTAGTCGGGTGATCGATTCAGCACCCAGGATCGATCCACCATGTGGAATCAATCCCAAGGGATCGATCGACCTATATGGATCGATCATCGTGGCAGATTTTCAAAGGTTACTGTTTCATCGTCTTCTTCCTCGGGTCCATTTTTGAAAATACCATTTTTAATCACCAAACTTCATTTAAAGTATATAGAAATGTTTTCCAAGGTTCATAGATCGTTTTGGTATCATTAATTCGTAGTTTCAACATCAATTTCAAGATTTATGATTTTTGGTTCTTCAAGCATGACAAACACAAAACTCAACCAAACGACTGTTTATGAATGTAGAAACGATCTATACGAACATTTTAGTCACTAGATATATCTACGGGCTTAATTACCTCAAAGCTTAATGATGGTTTTGGAAATTTTCCAGCAAAATTCTGGCGAGGATTGTGTCTAGCTCCGGTGACGGGAAGCTCTCTGACAGCACTACTTTACTCTCTACACTCACAGCTCTCTTTTGGAAGAAGAATGGTGAAAAATGGTGAAGGTTTGAGGGGTTTATATAATGGAGGAAATGAGAAGAAGACCTGGATGACCTCTGCAGTTTTGTTCCTTCGACGTCTCAGTGGAGGGTGCTGCGATATTTACGATTCCAAATGCAAGTCCCTGAGTGGGACTAATTTAGTCTCCGTCGGGATACACCTTTTGGTCCTAATTTCTCCGAATTAGAATCCGATTGAATCGTTGTGGTCAGACAGTCAAACTCTACACAATGATATAATTTTCATTAATCATTGACAAACTTTATAAATCACTAATTTTTGGGGCCTTCTCAGTAATTAATTAATTATCAATTAATTAATTTTGATAGGCCTATTTTCAGGGCGTTACAAAAGAAATTAAAGCCCCCCTAATCCTAAGATGATGCGAAGCAACGATTATAGCATTATTGTCAGATGGTCGTGATCACCCCCTGAATTGATCGCACCATAGATTTAGGGCAATTATGCCATGCCCAATGCATACCGTCAATGCTGCCTAGCATTTTGGGAAATCCATGTCCTGCTTCATGGGTGATTGGGTTGCATATCGTACATTTCAAGCATTTATTTAAACAATCAGTCAATAGGATAGAAAGGAAAAAAATTATTTTTTATAGAAAAGTTAATAGAAAGTAAAAAAAACTAAAACAAGATGAAAAATTTTAGCATTTATTGATAAAAATTTGATCTACTTATAATTATAAACGTATTTAATAAAAAATAAATATAATAATTATTTAAAAATATATCAACTACTGAACTTAAAATTAATAAAGATTTCTATTAATATATAATAAACCTTTTCTATAATAAACAAGATATTCTCTCCACCTCTATAAATTTTCATATTTTTTTTAATTTATACAAATTGAAGTATTTGATACAAAGAAGTTATATATATATATATATATATATATATATATATATATATATATATATATATATATATATAACAAATAGTATTTAATAAAGAATCATTAATTATTTATATATAAAAATGATACTTAGATCACTAAGTTATATTTAATAAAACATATATTTTAAAGAAATATATATATTTAATAAACCTTTTATTCTACTACTTTTTCAAATAGTATATATTTAGACTAAAAGAATGTTAGTATAATTTAAATAAAAAGTTAAGACAAATAAAGAATCATTAATTATATTTACACACACACACACAGATATATATATATATATATATATATATATATATATATATATATATAAAATATTGGTTCAGGTGAGAATGCGATCTTATTAAAGAAATAAGAATGAATCTCGTGCTTTAAATTGTGAGATCTAAGGGTTAGGATTGCATCAGAATTAGGTGCACCAAAATGATTTAAAAATGCATCATGTCGAAATGCACCAAAATCCTTTGAAAATGCACAATCTCAAAATCTGAGTGCAGGAGGCAATCTGAGCCGCACGATGCATCAGATCCAAAGACTAGATTTTATTCTTATTTCTTTCACCAAGGTGCATTCTCACCTGAACCGCACCATAAATATATGTGTGTGTGTGTGTGTGTGTGTGTATCTGTGTGTGTGTGTGTGTGTGTGTGTGTGTGTGTGTGTGTGTGTGTATGATACTTATATCATTAAGAAACTAACATATGTCATATCTATCCGGCCTTTTTAAACACCTAATATATCTAAATTATAAACTTCTCTCATTTATAACAACATTTTAGAATAATAAATAAAATACTCACTTCACATAGAAATAAATTTTATATTTGTTCATAAATTTACATGAAATTAATTTGATTATATTTGTTTAAAATTTGACAACTAATAAATAGAATACTTTTTCACATATAAATAACTTTTATATTTTTGATACTTAATATACCACCTAGCTAATTAAGTATATAGAAAATTTGAATTCAATATTTTTATATTAAATCTTTGAGTATATTAAATTATGGAAGAGAAACATATGTTCTTAGCGTATTATTTTTTTCCAATTCAATATAGTATTTATTGTCTCTTTATTTTTAGTAAAACTTTTACATAATAAATAATATGTTTTTTGACATCTAAATAATTTTAACCCGTGTGTTTGTTTATGACATGCTTAGATGAAATTAGATTTGATTCTATTGATCTTAATATTGATGCAAAATTAAAACCAAACAATATATTTTAAAAACTACAGTAAGAAACTATTGTATAAAAAAGATATAACTTTACTATAATTTTTTTAAATATAAAAGGCTTTTAAATAATAAAAAAATATTATCTTAACCCATAAATTAATTTTATTTTTGTAATTTCTTGTGATCTGTTTAAACAAACCCATATTAATTATATTAATTTAGATATTCAAACTTAATAAATAAAATATTTTCCTCACATTTATAGAAATTTTATATTTTTTCTGACACACAATATGCCACCTAATTTAGGACATATAAAACGTAAAATCAATGTTTTTGTTAAATATATTGTATATATTTAATATATTGTATTATTCTCTTACCTTATTTGTATAGGTTTCGTTACTTGTGTCTCTCCTACCTTTTTAGAATTGAGACTCCCCTTATATATATACATGTAATCACAACTCATTTGATCAATGAAAATCATAATTTTTCAGGGTATCGGAGCCTAATTAATCAAAAGAAAAAATGTAGGTCTCCCATGTCTGTCATATCAAACGAAAAAAAAACCCTAACCCTACCTCTTGGCTCTCTCTCTCTCCTCGCGGCAGTCTCAGCGCCGCCCCGCCGTCCCTCCTTCGACGTCGGCAGTCCCCAGCGGCAGCACTTTCCCTCCTCCTCCCTTCGGCTCTCTTCTCTCCAATGGCCGAAAGCGAGGTTACCTCCAACTCCACTCCGGCAAAAACCCCTCATCTTGCCTTCACGACGATCTCTAATGTCAAACTCCATGTTTTGGTTCTTCTCAGCCTCTCTCAACCGAACTACAAAAAGTGGAGTCGCCTTTTCCTCCTCTTGGTTCGCCGATTCAATCTCCAAGGCTACATCAATGGCTCCATTGTCCCTCTCTCTAAAGACGACGATGAGTGGCTCCAACTTGACGCTCTCCTCCAGGGATGGATCTTATCCACCATCTCCGACGAAGTCTCAGATCTGGTTATCTCCTCTGTCTCCACCGCTTCTGCTCTTTGGAAATTTATTCATGATCTGTTTCACGACAACAAGAATACTCCTGCCATGCAACTAGAGCACGAGTTCCGTACCACTGTCAAAGGCAACACCACTATGGCGGCCTACTGTCAGCATCTGCAAAATCTCGCAGATTGGCCGGAGGATGTTGATGCCCCAGTGTCCCAACATCAATTGGTTCTTCAGATGCTTCATGGTCTCCCCGCAGATTTGCAAGCCCAAACGTCTTTTCTTCAATTTCAGGATCCGCTGCCCACTTTTCTCCAAGCCCGCTCCGCTCTCATGCTTTTGGACCGACAATGCTCTCCCATGGCCGACTCGAGCAGCACGGGCCTCCTTGCCGGTAGGCCCGGCGTCACCCCACCCCCAACCCATATGCCTACCCCCACA